TAAAGCTACTTAAGTCATCAGAGTTGCACATCTCACACTGCTGAGGATCTTCATCAGAGTTGCACATCTCACACTGCTGAGGATCTTTGCACAGAGAGCTGCTCGTTAAGCTGCAAGGCTAACAATGCTAGCTGCTCTCTTTGGATACGCCTGGTTTCGTTTGGCTCGTAGCGATTTATATGCGGTCCCAGTTAATTACATGCTGACAAAACGCCCAGAAAGAGTGGTTTTTATGGATAATGAATTTAGTGATTTGCTTTTAAGGCTGTAAGTATTAATGAGTAAAGTTACAGCAGTGTGCTGTGCTGCGGTCAGACGGCTGAGCTTCGATTGACCTGGTCACACCGGAAGCTCCTTCACTTAGATTGGTGGAAACATTTGTTAGATCAAACGCTCAGTTTTTTTTCTTTCTGCGATATCACCACATTTTTTTAAAAAAGAGATTTTTGTAAAGGGTCAGTTTTGGGAGTACTACTTGGATTTTAAGTTTAAGATGACATAGAAAAGAAAGGAAACGAATATTTAAATGTGTCGGATTCATGGGCATTGATTCACACACTTATTCCCTCCCACTCGATGGGTTTGTAGACATGCATAGAAGAGCCATTTTGATGGATCCGATAAATAACGCAGGCCTGAGAGTCTCATGTTTTAAATACCTTCTTGTGGTGGGTAATTGCATGCAGCTGTGTGTGAACACAACTTGGCAGCGGACTCCTTAATTTGTCTGTATGAGCTCTTTTTGGCTGTTTGTGTGTGAGAGAATTACTGTTAAATTAAAATAAAATAAAAATACGAAAGTGAGTTTGAGAGCAGCAGCCGAAGAAGCAGGTCGTAAAGGTGTAGTTAGACGTAAAGAAGGATAAAGTAAAGAGCTGTCGTAATGTCGGGGTCAAGGGTGGAGAGAAAGTTTCTGCTGGGGCTTCAGGCAAAGTTTGTTTCATCTTCAACTTAAAAATAAAAGCTCTCTGCGAGAATTGAATGCTCCTTACAGTAGCCAAGCTGCAAAACATTCAAAGTGCCTCAAGATCTAAATAACGAGCGTTGCATGAAGGGACAGAAAGATTATTTAGATTTTAACATTTCTAATGTTAAACGCATATGCGATGAATGAAAGTTTAGCTTAATCCTGAGCAAAAATACAGAATAAAAACTAGATGTAGTTTTTGTTTAAGATGTTGCTGCACATCTATTGTTCTATTATTATTGGCCTCTTTACTTTCTGAGACTGCTGATCATGTTTTTTAGTATTATCTTTAATTTTGTTTCAAGCTGTATTTAAATAAGACTAAACCGGTGAAATTCGCTGAACCTCTGGACTGGACTGCTCCCTCTGTGTTTAGAAATTTGGAGAAGTGCGCGAAAGAAAGAAGCATTAAAATGCCTTTTGCGTAAACTCAGGTCTTCAAGGAGTCCTTTTATAGCCTGAACTGCCTGCTACTGCTGTGATGGTGAACACACACACACACACACACACGGAGAGCAGCCAGAAACGCCTCCCCTGAATATCTGCTTTGTCACCCAACAGAGCTCTAATCACCACAGTAAAACTGGAGAATAAATGTTTAGCTTTCTGATGCAGCTATTTGTTTCAACCCAAATGACTTTCCCTGCGGCGTCATCGTCTTATCGTGGTTTCTATTGCAGCTGCTTGTCTAATTTGTGTTCCTCGTGGAGCTGTAAATGGCTTTAACTACACTGAGAATTATTTAACTCAGTCACCCGGTTACATTACATTTCAGGAAAGCAGTCTGGTGTTGACGTGCATTTGAAAACACGCTCTTGTATTTAATTTGTAAGAACGCTCATTAAAATCAAGATTCGGCCGGGGAAATCCAAATCAAGGAAGGCTTGAGACAAAATTGAAGGGAATCTAGAAGCAAATGGATTCATGTGACACTGCAGCATATGTGCAAGAAATTACTTGGACAGAGTGAGAATATTGTTTAAAAAATTGGAAATCGTCCGACAAAAGTGATGCTATTGAGCTGAATTAACTTTTACGAAGTTAAATTTATCGAATCAACGCTGTGTCTAATGAGAAACAACAAAAACTGTAAATTTGTCGTAATGCCAAAAACTTGCGTTTTCCTCCTCGCTCGCCTGTGGATGTGTTCATTACCTACACAGACTGATTATTTCTGTCAACTCGCAGTGAGCTTCCTAGTAGATCTGCAGGATAAATGGATCGATTGGTTCAGTCCAGCGAATAGATCCCAGAGCAGACGACCTTCCCTCCCTCATGCTGAATCGACATCGGGCCAAATGGATTTGTGGCGGCTGCGGTTAAGTGGAGATCCAAGGCTTTCTGTCACTTACTTACTGTGAGGAGAATAGCTTGAGGAACACACACACACACACACACACACACACACACACAGTTTAAAAGCTGATTGTTTGTAGCTCCTCAAGGTTGTGGCTGATTAGGAAAGCTGCAGCGTAAATCAGTAATGGCGGTGGTTCTTTTCAAACTCCTCTCCTGTTTGATTAATTTGAGAGGAGTGAAACAATGAGCATACAGTTCTGTTTCCTCTAACGCAGCGCATTTACTGCAAGTGTTTTGTTCAGCGTTTTTTTTCCAGATATGATTGTTTTGTTTATTTGCAAGAATCGATTAAGATAGAGAATTTTCTGGGGATAAACGTCCCAACAGGCCTCATTAGAAAAGGATAAATTAATTTTTTTTTTCCCTATTTGAGAAGACAGTGTATTTATTTTAGACTTTAATAAACCTGTTCTGTGAGCTTAGGACTAAATACAAGCTAACTGGCTAGCAATTTGTAATAATAAAGCCGGAAAAAAATACTAAAAATCTGTTTTTATTTCTGCTTCATTCAACATAAGAGCCTTTCATTTTTTTTTCTCTAATCGTAATTCAACCATTGTATAAAAGTTTATAAATTTACGGGCAAACTGTGGAGGTCAGAAAGGGTTTTATTAATAAAATATTGCTGCATGCCTTGGAGAAAAACAGTGTTGGTGGCCTGTGTGTGGAAATGAACTTGTGCAGAGCAGGAAGACTGCCAAGGGCAGAGGAGGGTTGTTTCCATCTCTATTTAAGGAAGAAACGCAGTGTGAAGCTGTCTTCGATGAAAACATTGCAACATTTTCTAATAATAATTTAATCTAGTAATATGTCAGTTTTTGACACAGCTGATATGTTATTTTGCTGCCTGCTTTATGTTTCTCTTTTATTTGCAAAAAGTCTTAGTACATGTCAAGTTAATATCTAAACATGTTTGGTTATAATTCAGAACAAAGATATTTAAGTCTGCAAAGTTTCTTTGATTCATTATAATCTTACTAAGCAATGGTTAATTCCAGAAATTTTTCTCACTCCAGTTCAAAATCGTCATTAATTGCCTTTTAAGCGCCATAATTAGAGTCAAAATTTTAATTTAGTCAAGTTTAACAGTTGGGATTCGACTTGATTGCAAAAGATGGAGAGATAAATCATCAAAACTCCTGAAATTAGTTCCTACAACATCTATACATTTACAAAAAATACAAATCAGATTTTAATTTAAGTCATTATAATACTTTGTTGTTGGGAAAAAAAGTAGTTTTGAGACTCAATTGTCAGCAGACTACGACTCCATTTCCTTCTCATGTGCTTTAACTGAGAGATGTGATTAGTGTATCGATTTATTGATTATTCAGTCCTTTTGTTGGATCCAGTTTAGGGGTCAGAGAGTTTCTCTGCCTGTTTTCTGCCAGCTGTTCAGCAATGCACAGCAACCTGTCAGTGCTGCGTTACTCTGTACTTATAACAGCTGGGAAAACCGTCAAGCGCATTCTAGTGTATGCCATTAAAAGGCCGTTAAACCACAAGACAAGTTTATTTATATTGCACCAAAAGTAATTTACAGGACATCAAAGGGAAGGAAAATTATGTTAAAATCAGATTTTAAAGGCAGAATAGAAACGCATGTTTCAAACAGCTAAATATATAGCAAGGGCTGCAGTAAACAAGTGTTTTCAGGAACTAAAAAAGCAGAATTCCTATTGTATTTCTTATTGTTGGGGTGTGTTGACATAAATTACCTAAATAGGCTTTTTAGAAGATTGGTTATCGGCGATCGGCCAGAAAACTGCGATCGGTGCGCCTCTGTTGTCTACAATCAATAAAAGTTAAAACTCTCACTTTTGTTTCCCTTAAGTGCTTTAGGAGACAATCTGTTGCAAAAGTTAGAAATTGACTTCTTGCAACTAAACCTGATTTAAAACTTAAAGTTGATGGACCAAATCTAATTATAAGGGTGTTAAAAATTTGGGAATTCACCAGAAAACATTATTTGAATTTTTGCTTTGTCTGTAAAAATTCATGAAAAACTTTTTCCTAATGGATATTTTATAGTCCAAGGCGGAGTTTTCACTGTTTTTGTCTGACTCGGTATAATTGGTGCAGAGCAGCAGACAGTGACAGATTGGAGCGATGGGGAAACACCTCCATGCGTGAAACAGGGCAGGATCGCCTGCAGCTCTGAGGAGGTGTGAATGGGATTTTCTTCCTGATGTGGGATTCGACTGAAATGAAGATCGGTGTCAATCTGACGGCAACACCTGGGGAAAACCCTGAGCTTCGAATATTATACAAATACACTGTACTGCCGTAAAAATCATTGATTTCTTATGTTTCTTGCATTTTTTTGGATCAAAAACATTTTTATAGGATAGAAAGAGACAGTTTTCAAATGATTATTTCATGTATTAGAGACAAGATTTTTAAAAACACATGGCTGTGTGTGAAAATATAATTGCCTCCCATTTTAAATTATAAATTTACTCTCAGTAACCGGATCTCTCTGAGCGTCGCACTCAACCCTAATTATGACCAGACCTGCACAATCAAGAAATGACTTCAGTTGGACCCGCCTGACAACATGGAGCAGAAGAAAAAGATAAAAAAAAAAAAAAAAGCAAGACATCATCTGAGTGTTATTTTGGATGTTGTGCCTTTGCTGTGTGCGTGTTACAGGGAAAAAGACGGGAACAATAATAACTTGCAGAAAGCCACAAACTCATTCTGCTGTATTTGAGGGTGAGGTACGTCTTTCTCTGCTCTATTCCTGTGTGTGTTTGTAAAGCCACAAACATTTATCAGCTTTCAGTCCACTTGCTTACATTTTATTTTTAGGAAAAGGAGTGATTCCGGTTTTCTTCACATGCTGCTTTATAGATGCCTCTCAGTTGCGTTTTCATTACAAATGTGCATAAAATGTTCACTAATGCCAAAATTGAATAAGAAACAAAATTAAAAATCACATCGATAAGTTTGTTTACGTGATAAGTCATTATAAAACATCAACCTCCTGTCACTTCCTGCCGTCATCTTTGTCTTTTCTGCCAGTAGAAACGTCCGGGTGTTGGTCACATGAGTCGTGATCAACACAACCTTTTTATCTTTCCTTTGGTTAATTCATGTAAAACACTTTG